TCTCCTCAGCTCATTAACTTGGTATTCTAATTTCATGCTATTTATTCTTTTGCAAGATATAGGTTTCAAATTTTTCTTGAGTTATTGCTTTTACTTGGCTAACTTTGTTCTTTGCTTTGTTAGTTAGGAGTTTAAATTTACTTTCTTTCTTTGGTAAAACTGGTAGTTCTTGAAACTGCTTGTCTGTCAAATATTTCTGTCATGCTACAATATTTTCTAGAACTTCTATTTTTCTTGAAGCTTTTTCTAAGTTGTCATCTTTTTTTTACTTTAATTCTTCCCTATAAAAAATTATTGACTGAAAATATACGGAAAATGTACGGGAAAACAGTAGGTGAACCGTATTGTTTTACGGAATAGGTACGGGAAAATGTACGGAATCTTCCTGTTAAATGCGCCGAAATATACGGAATTTGTGCGAGATAGATACGAAGTAGGTGCGGAGTAGGTGCGAAATGCATACGAACCACGCACAAAATACACACGTTTTTTACGGAAAACATACGGAATTCATTTTTCTCGTACGTTTCCCATGTGAATTACGTGATGTGCCAATGTGAAATTCGTGCGGAAAACGTACGAGAAAATGAATTCCGTATTAGTATGTTTTCCGTAAAAACCGTGTGTATTCCGTGCGTGGTTCGTATGCATTCCGCACCTACTTCGTATCTATCCCGCACAAATTCCGTACATTTCGGCATATTTAGCAGGAAGATTCCGTACCTATTCCGTACCTATTCCGTAAAACAATACGGTTCATCTACTGTTTTCCCGTACATTTCCCGTATATTTTCAGTCAATAATTTTTTATAGGGCGCTTGAGGCGTCCCTACAAGCAACATAGAACAATCAAACGGGGGTGTTTCCTAACTAATGATTAGTGGCCAGACCACTAACAATGGCTTTTCCTGTTAACTATAGCATAGTGGACATTCGTTTTATCACATGTGACAAAATAGATCGTTGATCTTTTTTATGTTGTGAAACATGTGACTTCAATTGAATTTAGAATAGAAAAAAGTCGCGTGACTGCGCACAAAAACTTGTTTAACCTGAGATGTACAACTAAACGCAATTATTATAAAATTGAACAAGAAAAAGGACAAGGACAGTGTTAAGGACACTGTTATTTATTATGATTACTATGATGATTATACTGATTTTATGATAAAGACGATACGTGAAGTTGAGAAAATTACAACGTTATTTATACACGTTAAAGGTTCTATCATCTAATTCTCCGATTTCTTTGGATTCCTAATTAAATACATTATTTGAACCCTCCATGTAGAATTGACTTCAAATTATTTTTGGTATGAATCAAATAATTTAAATTCCGCTGTTTAAATTCAATCTGAGAATTAAAGATGTTACACTTTAGAATGTTGGGATATTTATTTCTCCGTTGTTTGAGATATTTTCCGCGAGTCAATTATTTTATTGGTTTATCACAGTGATTAAATAACAATATGAAATTGACTGGTTTGAATTCTTGATCAGTTTTTTGATTTATTTATTGATTTTCCGTGATATGTAAAATTACTATTTTGAATAAAACGAATAAAACGATAAACGGATAAAACGAAAGAACCTAAAATTCTAACCAATATAGGTTTGTTTTGTTTTTCTTAGATGATTCTCCTTCTATATCATTTAAATTTAAAGGTATATTTTCATTTACGTTTTCATTCAATTTATCAATTTCAGTATCAATTTCTTCACCAAACAAACCATTAGAAGTTCTCTCTTGATTTCTGTAAGTTGATTTTCTTTTAGAAACACGACTCATTATAAAGATTTTCTGGCCATAAAAAATATATCGGAGTTTAATGATTAAGTTTACAAATTTATTTGATTAACTATACTTTAAAATCGCTTTTGAAAATTTATCACGTGATTGTATCGGCCAATCAGAATGATTGAAAGTAAGTCCCGAAATTTACATAATATTAATATTAATATAGACATAAAAATGCTCCAACTTTGAACCTCAATAACTCTACAAAATTTTATAATGAAAAAATTTAAACTGATAGAATAAAACTAGCTTCAGTTCTATTGGTTTGCCTTTTCTCTAAAACTCCTAATTTGGAAGTTATTAGCTCTCAAAGATTGTCAATTTCAGTGTCATCTTTAGATGACGTGCACCATATTTAAATTTTTTTGACTGCTTTTTTACTTTTTAGAATTCTTTTTCTTATAACAGTGAGAGTCACATCATTGGGCACAGTGTGATTCATGAAAGTTATGCTAGGATGGGCATCTGAATTTTAGATTTTTTTCATAATTTTTATTTTATCAAATTATTATTATCATCATTGTTGTTATTATTGTTGTTGTTGTTATTATTGTTATTATTATTATTATTATTACTATTTATTTTAAGCCAAAATTTATCATGTGGGATAATTCTAATAATAATAATAATAATAATAAAATTATTATTATAAAAGCATATATATATTTTTAAAAAGAAAAATTTATAAAACTTACTGTAAAATAACTTTTCGATAATAACATATCAAATCCTTTTGATATACTTCTGGAAGTCGACAAACAAGCTAAATAGTAGAAACAAAAATTAAAATTTGTCTTTAATAATATTATATATAGAGATGATTGGCTATTTGTTACCATATAATTTGCACCGTCATCATTTTCTAAAATCAAATGATCACTGCATATTTTCTTTGATGTCAAATGATTAACAAAACGGTTAAAAGCCTTATCACTTATATCTTTGATTTCATTTGGTTTGATTGTGGTAGAATCAAATGCTTTGTGTGTAATTGCTATTTCTAACTTTTGACAATTTTCAAGCCCAAGACGACTATCATATACACATAGTATAATTCGTGATTTAATTGTGTGATTCAATATATAAATAAATATATAAATTGTAAATTATAATCATCGTCATACATACTAACAACCATATGGTTCAGCAATGAATCCTGAATCTATAGATTTCAATTCTGAAATAATATTTTTCTAAAAAAAACTTGCATATTAAAATTTTTTCACAAATTATTTGAATTTCTTTTGAGAAAAATTTAATTAATCACCTGTAATAAATCCATTTCCCATCTTTGAAATGGATTTTCAAAGTCATTAAAATATTTTATTACCAATTTTTGTAATGGTGATAATTTTTCATTGGCCAATACATCTTCTAAAGATCTATAGCCTTTCTCATAATACTTTCTTGCTCCTACCCATCTTGAGTAAAAAATAGGTTATTATTATTAACATCAAGTGCACAATTATTATATTGAATAATTTTAATTAAATATATAAATATACCCAATTTTAGGTATTTTTGTAAAAGATTCTACCAATTTTTCTTCAAATCCGCCTTTTTCGGTTAAAGTTGAACATGTACCCTTATTGTATTGTTTAAGACTTAAATTTAACAATCAAAAATTATGAATCATATAAAAAAAAGAAAAGAAATAATAATAATAAGCCTAATTAAATAATAAATAAACTAACCGTAAGTAGTATCTCGTCAATTTTTGATGCAATACGAACACCAATACCCTTGATTTTCATTGCTTCTTTACCAGAAGTAATTTTTGTAGGATGTTCAGAAATAGCCTTTATTGCTTTTTTATAAGCATTCACTTTATGAGTTTCACCTTCATCGCGTCTTTTTTTTCCTATTTCTATAAAATTTATAGTTTTAAAAAAATATCAATTATAATTATTATCAATCATCATTATTAAAATCATTAATAACATTTCCAATTGAAATTTTCTACAACCTGCTAAAATGTTTATAATATTTGCATTTGGATTTACAGGTTCATTTATAAATTTGTTAACACATTCATTGGAATTTTTCTTGGTATCTTTACTAATATTTTGGGGTATCATAGTGAACAAATCTTTATTTTCACAAGCTGTTTTGCTAAATTTACCAAATCGTGTAGAATGTTCTAGTGTGGAAGAGGTGGTGTAAAAAATACCAAATTGTATGTAAGAACGTGGTGATATAAAAATGCGTTTCATCATAAAAAAGAATATATATTATTTTTTCCAAAAATTCAAAATTTTTTCTTGAACCAAATTAGCCAAGATCAACAATAATCGGCATCTATTTAAACAAATGCTTAACCTTATTTGGTGCAACTACGGTATATTTTTATTTTTTAAGGGTAGAGTTCACAACGTCACACTATTATGAATGCAAAAATGATCACACTCATTATCATGGGTACTCATAAGCAAGGTATGATGAACACTTAATACAGTATGATCGGCTTGAAATCAAACCTCGTTTCAACAATTACTATTATACCAAAATTACTTATCGCGTGCGTTTCAACGAATTTTATATGCTACGTGTTTCTTAAATTTGTACAAGTCTTATAATAATACTAATGCAATAATATTCCGATAATTTTATTAATTAGGACTTCTGTATGTAATGATTCCAAGATACTTTCAAGTATAAAGTTCTGTAGATCATTTTTTTTTTTACAAAAGATTAACCATGAAAAGTTTAAAAAATCATTTTTTCTTAAAAAAAAGTTTTCAAATTGATTTTTTAAAACTTAATAATTATTCAGTATTTATTAATAACAATTACAATAAAAATGGTAATTTTATAAATTTAAAACAATTTTCAACATCAGATAAAAATAATCAAGACTTAAATTTAATAAACAATGAAGCCATTCAATTCCTTTTGCCCAAAGAGAAACCAACTTCAATTTCATATTTTACAGCAAAACCAAAATATTATGATCTTATGATAAGATTAGATGATCTGATTTTAAAATACAATAGACTATCAAAAAAACCTATTGTCAATAATAATGATGTTGTTATTGATGTTAATGATAATGTTGGAATAATTGGAGAAGTAGTGGGAAAGCAAAAGGATGGAAATAACAATGATATAGTAGTTGGTGGCGAGGAAACAAGTTTGTGGAAAATAAAGGATCAATTTAATTCAGATTTAGATTTAGATTTGAAGATAAATGAATATCGTACCATAATTAAAAAATTAAATGAGTTGGACAAAATTTCAACAATTAATAATATAACAAGTCTAAAGGAATTTTTAAGTCTATTCAAAAGACATGATTTTGAAAAAGAAAAAAAATTAGTGATAGAGAAGAAGAATAAACTTGATTTATGGGGAAGAAGTTTTTCTGTTGGTAAAAGAAAAACATCTAGCGCTAAGATTTGGTTGATAAAAGGAGATGGTCTGGTTTATGTTAATGGTGTTCCAATGACAAATTATTTTCAATTATTAAAAGATAGAAATTCAATCTTGTTTCCTTTCAAAGTGACTGATCTAATTGGTAAATATAATGTTTGGGCTATTGTACGAGGTGGAGGTCATACAGGTACCTAATTTTAGTAAATATTTTTAACAGATTTTATTTATTATTAGAGAAATAATTAACTTAAATATTAAAAAAGGTCAATCTGAAGCAATTGCTCACGGTATTACCAAATCTTTATTAGTTCATGATCCTTCACTTAAACCAATATTAAGAAAAGGTTAGAAATGATAAACATTAATTGATCTTTTTTCTTTCTTTCTTTCTTAATTGATTATTTGATTGTTATTTTTTATTTTGAAGCAAAACTTGTGACAAGAGATAGGAGATCAGTTGAAAGAAAGAAACCCGGTAAAGCAAAGGCTAGAAAGAGTTATACATGGTGCGTATATACACATATCAATATATGTAATGTTTATTTTTTAACTTTAAAAAAAAATTTTACATTTTAACAAATTGAATTTTTTTCAATAGGGTTAAACGTTAAAATAAAATTATTATGTAAGATATTGATGAAACCGATATTTTAATCTTCATCATCGAAGAAAAACTCTAAACTATCGTTTGCTATAATACCGCAATATAATTCATAATCAATCTAATTGTTACCAATATAACTATTATCAATAAAACATCACAACCATTTGTGCCGAACTATTTTGTTTGGAAAATTGATTCGCATTAATATTAATATGATTGGTTGTTTAGTTTGGCGACGGAACATTATTTTCTCTGTCACGTCTCTTTTAGAGAGGACAGAAACCATTATAGCTAGAACACTTGTATTTGAGGAACTGTTTGCAACGTTAACCAACTTATGCATTATTCATCAAAGCAAGATATAAAATGCTAATTTGAGGAAAAAAGGAGAAAAATGCAAAGACTAGAAAACGAATTGTTGCTGACATCATCGGCTCGGGGTGGGTATGTTCTAGGCGAATAAATCCATGGTTTATACCAAATTTAACACTCGATAATTCGCCAAGTTATTGTGATGACCAAGTATTTGCATCACGTTATAAGACAAGTCTGCAAATTTTTGGCCGCAAATATTAAATATAATCCTTCCATTAATTAGCAAACCGTAAAAAGAAATAATAAAAGAAATGCTAAAATGATTTTTGTGAGTGTTTAAAACAGCACCTTTTTTTTTGTGCTTTCTTTCTACACGAATCAAAGAGAGGGAAAAGTTATTTTTAAAAAAAAAAAAATCAATCATAGCAACTCTAAATTTAATTTAGTAATAGCAATATTATTTTAATTTCTGCCTTAACTTTGGTGTTTTATTTTTATTTTTATTACTTTATTCTTTTGTGATAATTCTCCTTTGCCCTTTCTTTTTGAATTTGAATTTGACTGTTTATTGTAATCTTTATTGATTGATGAATCAATTAATTCATAAGAATTAGATACCTCGTCAGAATCATCACTGCCGTTATTTTCTTGTTTATCTTGTAACATCCAATTTTGTCTATCGACTTCTGCACCATAATAAACAAATAATTCCTCTCCTGCTTTAATATCGCGATTTGTCCAACATACGACCTGATTAATTTCATGACCTTCTAGAAATACCGTATTTCCAGATAGATTTTCATTCATGAAGTGAAATGGACAATAAGCTTTTCCTTTTGAATCAGTGTAAGGCATTCCATCTTTATCTGTTGCATCTAGTATTGTGTGTTTATATCTCATGGAATAATCTGCTGCCATTCCAATACTATCTTTATGTAATTCAAATTCTTCTTCAAGCATTGGAACACCAAAGAAAAATCCTAATGGCGTTGTATTTGGAATGTCTTGTTTAGCAAATAATCCATTACCTGCATTGGGAATCGTAGACGGCCTGACCTCTACAATCTCCTCGATTCCTTTTGGAACAGTGCTAAGATCAAACCATCCACTAATTTCTTCTGTTTGTATATAAGACATCGTTTCTGATTGCACTGTCACGCTACTACTATTTATTATGTATCCATTATTATTTTTATTATAGATATTGTCTTTTGTTGTGACCGATGAAAATTTTAATTTTTCTTTTAATGATTTTTTTCTTTTGGTTAATGCGTAAACGCACAATAATCCTTTTTCTTTACATCTAGAACACGAAGGAAACTTTGAATCACAATCTTTTTTTTCTACACATCGTATACAAGTATTATTATCGTTTGTATCTATACCCACTGAAAGCATAAAAATTTTTTCATCTGAAGGTGCATTATCTAACAATTAAAATGATGATGATAAAGAAATTAACCAATTTATTATTATCATGATATTATTCATCATATGAAACAATAAACAACAAGAACACCTTTTAATTTTCCAAATAGCAATGGCCAATCATGTTCTGTTAATCGTTTTGTCCACCTGACATATTGTTCATAGAATTCATCAAAGTCATTTGGAGTAAATGAAAGTTTATAATGAGTTTTTGAGTCAGGACTTTTCTTGAACGGTATAAAATACTTTTCTGCAACATGTGTTATACATGAACTAGCCGAATTTTCTGGTGTCTGTTAAAATATAATGTCAATAAATAATAATCATTCCTTAATATTATAAGCAAAATAGTGATAAATAGAATAAAATGTTAAATACATACACGACCAGTAAAACATCTTGGTAACCCTGTTTTATTGCATATTTCTTTGTCCAAGTATAATGCTGCATCAATCAGATCTTTACGTAACATACTATAATTAGGTGCATTTTGTAAAACTATCATCAATAAATGTGATTGATTGTGCCATTTGGGTCTAATTAATGGTGGAGTCAAATGTATTTTGGTTGGATCATCTTCAGCATTTAGTTTTAACACTTTAGGGAAAAAGTTTTCTGCAAATGATTTAAAAAATTCCTTGTCATTATCCAAAATATGAAGCTTTATAAGGTCTTTAAATTTAAATCCCATATTATTAGCAACAATTTGGACGCAATTGAAAAAATATTCAAGAGTTGTTCTCTGTTCTTTTTCTATAAAAAACAACCTTGAAATTTCATCCAAGTGTGGATATACTATAAATATGTTCTTGTCTGAATTAAAATTTGCTGTACAATCCTTTAGGAATTTTGAAATTACCTCATAAATACCTATCCAATCTCTATGAGAATCCTGTAAAATATTTTTAGCTATATTCGTAAAATCTAAATCAATTTCCATTGAAGTGGCTTCTTCCGTCCCATTATCAGCTGACGAAAGTTTTAAAAGTAAAACATTTTGTAACTTTTCAGTTGTTTCACTGTCTGCATTATCAGGGTTTGGTGTTATTTCAAGTAAAGTTTCAATTAAATGAAATCTACTCGAGTCATCAAGCTGAGCCAAACGTGACATCGCATTAGCAAATTTCTCCAAGGGAAGTCCAGATAATATTTTTACAGAAATGTCTTTAACGACATCTTCCCAAGCCTGTTCAAGAGTTAAACCTCTTTGTAGCTTTGTAACAACTCGTGGATCAAACCATTTCTTTAAGGCTTTAGATATTTCTAAAGGCTTTTTTTCTTTTGTCATACTTTACTAAACAGTGTAAATAAATATTATACACAAGTAGTATAAATTAATTAATATGGCCTATTTAAATTAATTTAAATTTTAATTTCTTGACAAAAAAGGATAGCAGACATGCAACAACATGCATAACGTGAATATATACAAGAATTTTACATTTTTTTTTATTATTTAAGAAATGGCTGCAAATTTCATTGTTCCGAAACGACAAATACTTACAAAAGATGATCTTGAAAAATTCAAAGAATCCCAAGCCTATGAGGATTATATTTCTTTTGTAATACGGCTAAATGATTCAGTTAAAGGCTTGAAACTTAACGATGATTGTGTTGTTTCAGTGGTAAAAAAAATATAAAATACTTTATATAATAGATTTTTTTTTTCTTTGGATTCACATGTTAATGTTCTATTTGATTGAATAGTTTTTGTCAAATGTGCTTGAAATTTTGGATACTGTAAATTCATATTGCAATAAAATTCCACCAGTACAAAATGAAAAGAGTCGTTTTGGAAATCCAGCATTCAAAAGTTTCTATGATCAAATTTCAAATGTATGGATGATTCTTTTGTTATCTTGATGGTTTGTTAATTAATGTATCGTGTTATATGAACTATTTATGGTATTTGTAAATATTGATTAGAATGTTGCAGAATTACATGAAAATTTATCAATACCTCCTTCAGCCATACCAGAAGTTTCGGGATATTTTGTAGAAAGTTGGGGTAATCGCAATAGATTAGATTATGGTACAGGACATGAAGCAAACTTTATCGCATGGTTGTAAGTTATATTTAACATGTATATTTATTTATATATATTTGTTTTCATATTACTTGATATGATTCTAAAATAATGATTTATGATTTTAATTGGAATCAATTAGATTATGTTTTGAAAAATTAGGAAAAATTGGTCCCGATGATTACGTTGCAGTGATTTTAAAAGTATTTCAAAAGTGATTATTTACTATTATTATTATTATTACTACTACTACTACAGTTTAATTATAAAAATTATTTTAAATAATTGAAATTATATTTATTTAACAAAAAGATACATTGAAGTGATGAGAAATTTACAAATTACATATTGGCTTGAACCAGCAGGATCACATGGAGTCTGGGGTTTAGATGATTACCATTTCTTACCTTTTATGTTTGGTTCTGCTCAATTATTTGGTATGAAATCATTGAATGAATTCTTTTGAGAAGGGTTTTATTTTTTTGAAACTTGATTATTTAATATTCAATTATATATATACAGATCATAAACATATTAAACCAAAGTCAATTCATGATGTTGATGTTGTTAATGAATATTCAAAAGATTATATGTATTTGGCCTGTGTAAAATTCATCAATTCGGTAAAAAACAAAATTCTTCTATATATATATATATATTATTTATATATTTATTTATATATAAACACGATTTTAAATCATTCCTAAAAAAATTTACAAGGTTAAAACTGCGTCACTTAAATGGAATTCACCAATGTTGGATGATATATCAGGCGATTAATCTCATTTTTTAATTCACAACCTCAATAGTTTGTTTATTTGAGGAGGGTGTATTTTTTTCCGGCATTTTTTAATATTATTTTTAATATTCATTAGGAGTACGTGAATGGAAAAAAGTCAATGAAGGAATGATCAAAATGTATAAATGTGAAGTTCTTGGAAAGTTACCAATAATGCAACATTTTATGTTTGGTTCACTGATACATTTTGAAGGAAGTGCTTCTTCACAAAATCTTGAACCTGGTGATAATGATGATCATGATCATGATCACATTCATGCTTTTGGTCAAGAATTTCCTGATTGTTGTGGTATTAGAATTCCTAGCGCTATTGGTGCCAATCAAATGAATCTAAAAGAAGGAACCATAAAACGATTACCTTTTGATTAGGTAATTGCAGTCTTTTTTGTTTTTTAATGAAGAAACTTAGGCTATGTTTAACGTTATTTGCTTAATTATTAATTTTTCTTTTCACATTATCAATTTTTAGTTTGAGGGCATTTTAAAAGAATAATTAAAATATTATTCAAATGGCACAAGATGTTATAAATTATGTTTGATTTTTTTATTAAATAAATACAATATATTAATTATTATTATTTCTATACAAATAATAAATAAATAACGATAAAAGTTCTATGTTATATACCACTTACTACCACTATCATTGCTATTATTATTAATGTGACTATTACAAACCTTCGCTGGCAATTTTTGGTTCCAACAACGTATAAAGTTCGTTAGTAACTATTTTATTTGTTGTACGAATTGTTAAACGAAACATCTATTTGAAATATGTATAAAAAGATAAAATAATAATAATCAATTAAAAATACTATTTTAACAGCAAAGCGAAAATAAACAGAATAATCAATTACCTGCGCATCAAGATTAGGTTCCAATCTAAGCAAGCATCCAATCAAACCACCTTTTGAAGTGTTCAATAAACTAGCGCCTACTATGTTATTGGGATTAGGATCTATGTTTTCTAATACACCAAATCTAAATCCTGAAATTAGATCCCGGATTTTTTGACAATTTATTGGTACATTTGATTTAAAAACAACCTGTCTTTCTAAATTTGCATTATTACCACCATCATTACTACTTCCACCAACACCATTACTATTACTACCACCACCACTACCAATTTGTTTCCATCTCGCAAAAAATTCTTGACTATTGAGTTGAATAGGTTCCATGAATTTTGTTAATACAATAGGCAATTTTAAAACTAAATTATTTAATACGTCTGACTGGAAAAAAGACACCCTAATGTTTGGTATACCAAGAAAAATATTTTGACATTCTACGTAGAGATGATGTTGAATTTGATTATTTGGCTCTATGGTTGTTCTTGGCGGATGAGGGGAATTTATTACGAGATCCTCAATATGATCAATTGATATGGTGAACGAAGTTATATTTGAATTTGTTTTATTTCTAAAATAGATCCCAAGTTTACCAAGATGTGTTTGATACTCGGATTTCCAATTAATTTGCAGTAAAGAATTTTCATGGAGAACGCCTTCTGAATTATATAATAATTTACTAAACCATTTTCCAACATCATTCGTTATTAGTTCAGTATTTGTTGGTGATTGAGATAAAGTTGATTTTGACGATTCAGAAAAATCTAATCCTTCAAGACCTGTTATAAGTAAAAGCTCCTCTGGTTTATCAAAACTCCCATTAGTAAATTCTTTACTTTTCTTTCTATCATTTTCAGAAGTGTTGTTATTATTATTATTATTATTACTGCTATTACTGCTACTACCAAAACTGCTCTTAAGCGATAGTTTATCTTTAGTTGTATCCTTAATGAGAATACTCCAAGTCCTTTTGTCTTCTGTATGTGCATGTTGCTGATGTAACCTTGATAATAATGCTGACTCTCTTTCAGGGAATGGTGGCATTTCCTCGCATATGGTTTGTAGAAGATCGTTAGTTGGCATTGTAGCAATTGTTAAATATTCTGACGCGCGTTGTTGTAGTTCAGAATCTAGAACATGGCAGTATTGATGAAATACTGTTAATATTTCACCTTTAATCTCTGGAAAAAGATTGGTGAACTTTAAATAAGTTGTCATCAGTAAAGCTCTTGTTTTGAGGGTGCACAGTGAAAATTTGGTATGGATAGCATGAAATTGTTCTATTGGACTTGCACCAGGAATACTAGCAATTAGATGACCAAATTCACCGAGGATATATCCACCAACTTTGACTAATATTTCGTGACAATTTGGAGATTTCAAATAAACTAAGATTGTTTTAGCCGCATATTCTTGAAGTTCTTCGTTGTTTGTAACTATTTGTATTACACGATACCAAACCTCATTGCCAACATGGTCTCCCGCAGTACTAATAAGTTGCAAAATGACATTTACATACCATTGATATTCTGTTGCAAATCTTTCAGTTAATATGGCTATTTTAAGAACCATTTCTTCTCTTAGAGCATAATCAGCAGCATTAAGGAATTTCAATAGCTCGGCAACAATGATTTTAGCGTTCGTTACATCACACATACTATACAATAAATCTAAACCTCTTCGTCTAACGCTTATATCCTTATCTCGTAATGATGATAGAATAGTGTCCTGATGTCGTTTAATTGGTTCCAATGAATCGACACACGCAGCCAAATGTGCCATTGTTTCTAGACCAAGATATCTAAGATTTGTTTCTTTAGATGTTATAAATCGGCCTAAAAGTACTACAGCTTGATTGACAATTTGGGACTCGGTGTCCAAATGGATTGCTAGATTGATGGCTTCAAACAAGACAGAATTTTGTGCATTACTATGCTGAACATTCTTTGGTGTATCTTGTGAATTATTAAGAATTGTTTGTAAAACATTATGTAATTTGATTCGAACTTCAAGGTCGTCTACAATACAAAAAAAAAAAAATTTTTTTTTTGAATTTAAAAAATTGGTTAAGCTACATAAAACAAAACCCATATCAATAAATTGTATAAAAATACCTGAAGCTGGATAATATTGCAACAGCCTAAGAAGTTTAACTTGTAACCATGGAACTGGAACTTTATAATAAACATAATCTTGTGTGTATTCTTTCTTGACAATAATCTATAAATAATTAAATGATAAAAGTTAACGCAAACAATTTTTTAGAATAGCCGTTAATCCTAAGCTACTGACCAATTAACGAAATACAAACCCTTGATAGACGATCTACAGCTTTTGCATAACAACTTTGATAAGCATCCAAATTGTCTTGTGCTAATGCCATCACTAAACTAGTAACACATAAACTAACACCCTAAATTTTTGTTATCAAATTGTATAATATAAATTATCTATTAATAACAATAGAATTGCCAGTTTAATATATATATGACTCTGTATCTTTTTTTTAAAAAAAAAATCCATGCATATATACCAAATCTTCTTGATTCATTAATATAATTATCCTTTCAGCCCAATCCACAGCAGGAATTACATCTGGATGTTTCCTATATAGACGTAAAAGTGTTAATGCAGCTTTCTTTTTTGCAAAACTTTTGGAATCACTATAATAAAAAATCAAAAACATGATTACATTAGAAAATGTTTTTAAATTTGATTTATAATTCTAAATTCTTACTGGGATAATAAAAGTCTATGAACATCTGGTGTTAAAGTTTCAGCCATCTCCCTACCACCAATGTTAGCGATAGCATGTAAAGCAAGACAATTGTATATTTCATTAACCTCAGCAAGATCTTTACGAATTGAATTGATAATAAGGTATGTCAAATCACTATTTTCATGCATTAAAAGTGTCACGCCCAAGTACCCCTTATGTAGCGTATATCACCATAATAAATTAAACGTAATCAATCATCATGAACAATTAATAGTCATGTAAAATTAAAAAAAAAAGATAAAAACTAACTATTTGTTTTTCACTATATTTATTACTGGATATTAAATTCACTGCCTCCATATGTCCAAAATCAATATCCCATCCAAGAATATACATATATAAAAGTTTGCATACATATTTCTTTTTTTGATACCCATTAAGATTTCCATCTTGAATATATACATTATTAAGAACAATTAATGTCGATGGTTAATTTAAATTCAGGATTGAAAGGAAAATTTATTTAAAAGAATGGAACCTTTAAATTTTGATCTAATATTTGCCATTTCTTTGTTAATACGTTTTTCTTCCAGTTCCCTTGATCTGCCTGAAGTGTTGCAAAAAAATAAGTTAAAAGATAATAGAAAAAGGTAATTTTCTAATCAAGATATCATTATTACAAGTATTTTAGGATACAATTTCTTATGTCTGCAATGAATACAGTCAAACCGCGCATGTTACTCGACATCTTTATTATTTGATTTTTCTAGTTTATAGCAAAAAAAAAACAAAAAATACTACTACTAGCTCTAATAGATTGATTTCTATTTAATCTATATAGTTATTTTAGCAACAAAAAGTAATGTGAAAAGAATAAATGAATGAAATAAAATGATTTAGATCTAAAAACTTGGAAACAGATCTAAAAGATTTAAAGATTGTTTTTTTTTTTTTAATGATAATAGATACAATTCTAAAAATAACAGGTTATATGACTTGTTTTACAAAAATATTTTGATGCTCGTGTAACTTCATATTGGGATAAAATATTCGAAAGCTGTATTAGTATATGTGTATGTGTATATGTCCGAGTATTTCAAAATGTTATTGAGATCCTTTGCTGAATATTTTTTTATGGAAACATTAAGAATATATTTTTAATGCTAACGTTAAAACCATCACTCCAAAATTTTATTCACAATCAATCAAATCAAACTTTCTATCATCCATCACATTTGTTTAGCAAAGGAACAAATACATTTATTAAATATTTGTTAAAAAATTACAGATTATATATATATATATATTTATATACTATTAAATAGATAAATAAATAAACTTGAATGATTCTTTGTGCAAAGCACAAAGTTTTTATCTGAGTCGCGGATCCGTAAAGTGATTTACGTCGTTGGATGATGGAATTTCCAATACATCGCCTGTAATTTGATTCTCATAATTATAATCATTATTATAATTGAGATTATTGTCGTTATAATTATTATTATTATTATTATTATAGTTGAGATTATTATCGTTATAATTATTATTATTATTATTATAATTGAGATTATTATCGTTATAATTATTATTGTTATAGTTGAGATTATTATTGTTATTATATTTGAGATTATTATCGTTATAATTAATATTACTATTATTGTTATTATTATCACCATTATTTTTTTTCTTATATGAAATGTATCCAATAGCAACAACAAGAACCGCTAAAACAAATAATACACCACCAACAACTCCAACGATAAGCCCGACATTTGGTGTGCTGCTATCCTTCGCAACATTAGAGGAAGAGGAGGAAGAAGAGGAAGAGGAAGAGGAAGAGGAAGGATAAGGAGGAGAAGTAGAAGGATATGCATTAACTGGAGAGGAAGGAGCAGCGGAAGGAGATCCACCGTTGACATTAATTTCACACCGAGCACCATTTGTACACCTCTGACTAACTGCATCAAAGAAAAAAAATGTGCCAGCCTTTGTAATTTCTAATGTGGCTTGTGTTTTGGTGTCTGATAATGTTGCAGAATCTAATTTAAATATTGTCAATATTGTCAATATTGTTAGAAAATGGCCATGATAAAACACATTGAAATAATTGTACATACATGCGTCAGGCCTTGTAGATCTTACACAAGATCCCCTCTCATCAGCTTCGACAATTAGAAAGTCACCGGTAGAATATTGATTTTTTACAAATATTATCTAATATAAAGTAATTTAGAAATACGTTTGTACTTTATATTTTTAATATTAAGACTAAACAAGTAAAATAAAGCTCTACATACAGTGTCTCCAACACTTGCTTTAACATAGGAAGGCGTAAACGATCCTACAAAATCTGCAGAGGTAACAAGAACTCTAATATCTATAGCATTGCTATGATTAATTATAAAAAGACAACAAACAAAAAAATTAACTATCTTATTTTTCGTTAACATCATATTTAATTAATTTTTATAGGAATTTCTTCTAAAGTAAATAGAGAACTAAACTTTTTATTTTTTTTTTTTTAAATTAGTGCAACGTTAACAATAATCAACAAAGATTGTTTCAAAATAGACGCGATTAGGAATTTTGTATTTTGTGAATTAATTCTAAATAGAATTCGTTGGAACGAGATTTGGATGCTATATTAGTATTAGTGTTTAACTCCCAAAACTGGTTAATTAAATTAAATAGCTATATTTGGATTATTTAAAAATAAAAGATTTGCCAACAGGTTATATATACGCTGTATATACAAGTAGAACCTTTTTGTGTATATTAATATAGTAGTAATTTCATGATTTTTAATTGCTTACTCAAACAAAAAATTTTTATATTAATATCATCTTAAAATAACTGATAAGTTTTTATTGTTATGCATGACTCTAGCATTTTGAAAATTCCAAACTGAGACCAAGTAAATTTTGTGTACCAATTTTTTTTTCATATTTATTTCCTTTTTTTTATTAATAATGAAAAGTAAATCATGTTTCGCAGATCATGTGTATAGAGACACAATAAAATTGACACATTAACACTGCCAAAAAATTTTTTTTTTTCAAGACTCTCTTTTTATTTGGTAGAATAAATCTCAAATATATTATATATAAACTTTTTGTTTGTTTTTTCTAACTTTTATATTGGGCATCGCCAAATTCCAAATAAAACTGAAATATTAAAAAACAGAGAAAATTATTTTTTTGTACTAAACATACTAAACATAGAATATGGGTTTTTATTACCAAAAAACCTTTTAAACAATAAATTTTCTGTCTAAATCTTAGTTTTTTTATATTTAATATAAATATGTCAGTCATTTATCTTTTTATTCTTTTTATTATGATCAAAATCCATTTTTTTATTAAAGCTCTTATTATTTGTTATAATAATATTCATAATATATGCTGCTTTTAATGTGAGTGTTGATGGTTTTTAATTATAGAGGGAGGCGTGAGATTCCTTCCATTTTGAGGGAAAATTTTTTTTTTTTGATTCCCTGAATTGAATGGTGGTGGTTTTTTTAAGGGTCCAACATGTGGGTGGATCACATAATATTTCAAACTTTTGAGTATAGATGAGACGTGGACAATAAAAAAGGCCTCAACTACCAAAATCGTGATTTTGAGTTGATACCCACATATATATGTAAATCATAATAAGAAGCAATTTTAGTTTAGAAATCATACCCACTTTAAAAATTTTTGAGATATTTTCTACAATTCGAATATCACATGAATATTGCACGAATTATTTATATTTTTAAAGTTCTCGAATCAGTCACATCAATTAAAGTGGGTATATGTGCACTAATTAATCGCTATTCAAATTTTCATAAATCGTTTTTCTATTAGTTTTAAACTATCTATCAAAAGATCTGAAAAAGACTTGTGGTCCTTCAAACTCTACAACAACAATAATATTTATATTAATGTTAATAAAAAACAAAATGTTCGAAATTAATATTTTGTTTTTTTACTTTAGAAACTTTAGAACATGGGAATGAACAACACAAATAAAAAAAATATAAACCTTTAAAAGTTTAAAGAGTCAAACAAAGTTTTAACAAATAATAATAATGCAAATAATGCGAACAAAGTTATCATTATATAAGATATATATCAATATATGCGTATACAAATAATTATTAGTATTATTAAAACCGGATGTATAGCACTAGTTTTGGAGTTAGTATTAAATCTTCTTTTTTTATTATTTGCAGGCATTGCTGGATCCTATTATATAACTTTACACTTATTAACACATAAAAACGGAGATCTCTGGAATTGTGATAAGTGTCATTTTCGTTCAATCTTAAAAAAAAACCAAAAGATCAATGATATATCAATTCTAACTTATTAACAAATTGTTTAGTACAACAAATAAATTCTAGAGTTACTATAACAGATCATAAATGACATTTTATAATCATTTTATAATTAAAAAATTTTACTTTATATCTTTTTTGTCTGTTATTATTAATTTAAATATTAACTAACATTTAATAAAAATCATTTGTTTTAAATTGGCCAATCAAAATTGTGTTTGTCGGTCGTCGTACGAACGTGACAATAAAGCAGATCTTTTTTTTTCAATTTACTCAAAATCATGATCTGCGATTTCACGTTTTTAAAAAACCATAAAGTACCAAGTAAAAAAAGTCGCATTAGGGATGGGGAGTTTGGCTCGATTTGGTTTGGTTTCGTGAAACCAGTTTAAACGGTTTGAACTACCTGTGAACAAGTTATTATTTTTTTTTTTTAATGGATTTTTAAAATAATAACAAGCTTATAACTGAGGACGCAATGCAAAGCTTTTGCTATGTGAGAACAAAAAATTCATTTATTTTAAGTTGGATTTGGATTTCATCTTTGTCGCAAAAAGTTTCTTTTCACAAAAAATTGAAACTAAACAAATTACTTTTGCACTACCTAATTAATCACACTTGCTGTTCATATTCAAAGTTCTCAAAAAAGTTTTTATTTGAAATTAATTATTTGTTGAAAATTTGATTTTTGTGGGTATTGAATAACATTGTTAATATGTAATAAATAATTATGTTTACTTTTTGCATAATTGAGAATTTATGTTAAACTCTGTTTTATGCCCATTTGGTTTTAAAACTACATTCATCTTTTTTATTCTTGGCAGTAAGTTCAAAACAACTGCTACCAGCAACCAAACTTCCATTATAAAGAAGATGTGATTTACATTACATGTGTATAACCAAACATTTGTGATGCATTCGGGACAAAGTTCAGTTAATTTCTTGATCAAGTATTCTCGTAGCGAAAATATACATGTAATTAGTTACATTGACTTTATTTATAATACTTATAATAATTAAAGATTTACTATTGAATATTAAAAAACCGCATGTCCTTTGCAAAATCAATTTTAACATCCCCCCTGTCTTGTAAAGATACCAGGCCGTTCCAATTGGTGTAAGCTGAGCATCAAGAAGATAAGCATTGTAGGAAGGTGGAATGCAAAAGGCATTGGGATATAAAGTTTCGATAGCATCACGTACACTGTAAATTTCTTCCATATCTCGAAAGTGAAAAATGCAAGATGAATTTTTATCCCTATGCTGATTTGCACGACGAATATTAACTGTTGCAAAAGCATTCATAACCAAATTATATGCATTCTGTCCATGTTGATTGACTCATTGAGGATTTGGGATTATGATTAAAACGGGGTCACCCTCTTCAACATCAGAAAGTTATTTCATATATTTGTGAATTTCACCTTTAGATGCTTTTGGAAAAATAGTTCCGAGAGCTTAAAAAAAATTAGATCTTATTTAGATTTTATCATAGAAGAGATTAAGAAGAAATGATTCTTGTTATTTATTTTTTCTACTAACCTTTTACCAATCCTGGTTCTTGAATACCATAATAAATGCCGCAAAAAAACATTTTGATAATATAAAATCTGATGAGAAATGATAAATCATATGTCAGTATAATTGAAATCCACACGGGAGAAGCCATCCAAATTATGAAAAGAATAAAAGGCAAAGCAACCAACATACAGTGACCGAAACAAGTACAAGAGGTTGCATGCATTATATTAATAAGTAAAGGTGAGCTTCTAAACATAATAATAGTATTGTAATATAAAATAGAATTAAGTTATTATTTAATAATATAGTAAAATTTTAGTTTTTAATGGATTTTTAAAGAATAACAAACTTATTTATAATTGAGGAAGAGAACAAAAATTCATTTATTTTATTCCTCATTTTTTTTTTTTTTTGAAAAATTTTGATTTATTATCATCCTCTGATTCATTACTGCTATAATTGATGATATATTACAAATGTAATCAATCAAATCAATTAATGAATTTTATCTAAATAAAATAAACTTGCTGGGCATGAATGATAGGTACAGTGATGTGATTTTGCTTTTTTAACTTCAATTTCAAAAAACAAATAAACATGACTTAGTAATTAACTTGGAAAAGACGTTTCAAAGTTGAGCTTGAACGCGACGTGATTTTGTTTTGTTTTGCTTATTATTCAGATAGAAATTTCTGTTTATAATATAACTATAACCTCCTCTATTTGAAGCATCCGAACGATTCGTTTTATTCAAATTACTCAAAAAAAGCTCGATTATGACAAATCATTTGTTTGATTTGAATAAAAATCCTATATATACTCAGGTCGACAGATCAGCATGCAAATTTGTCGGAGATTTAGAAATTTGTTCGCTGTATATAAACAAATATACAAGTTTACTACTTGCTGTTTTTTATTTGCTTTATTCTCTCGTGACTATTAAAATGTTAACTGTACCAATCTCTAGCCATACCATAACAATCAGTAAACAAGTTACATACTCACTGTAATTTACTATAAGACCAGGAATATCTATTGAATGTCACTATGGATTTGTGAAGGTAACCATTTCACTATAATAAGGAAACTCAAACCATAGTATTATTAAGTTGGTCGAGTCATAAATTTTATCAAGAATAATCATAATTTATATACACTTTATAAAATTCAACATTTAATTAACAGCAGTTTTCAGAATGATTAATATTAATTAAATTCTGATTTGACCGCGCCATAGTAATAAAAATCAATATTTGCTTATAATAAACATTAGCTGTGAGTTCATATGGTCTGTGGGGATATGTTTCGCGATTTTATGTATGTTGTTTTAAAAATTTTATAAACACATTATTATTATTATAGAGATAATTTAATCAGAGTACACTTTATTTATTTTTATAAAAAACCCATTTTTAAATACTTTAAAGTTTCATATCTCCTTCACTTGCGTCATTAAGAGATAATAGTTCTAATTGACCTTTTCCTTTTGTATCTGATTGTAACATTTCTTTGATTTCTCTATAATGTCCTGGATCAATCGTACATATCTATAAAAATAATCACAAGGCTTATCATTTATCATCATCATATTCATGTAATATATATAATGTAGTGTAAATAAATAAATAATACCAATTCACATTCATCTGACCAATTTTCGTCTTCTATTTGTGAGATTAGTTCAGTCAATCTTTCTTTTATTTTCTTTGCCTCTTTATTATTTGGAATCGTGATTCTTAATTTCATTTGTGCACGTGCAATAGGAATTATTTTTTTTTCTTGCAGTTGTTTAATTACTTCCAATGCCTACAAACAAATAAAAATATATAATGAAAATATATCATAAACACATGATAAACACGTACATTCTCTTACCTGTTGTTTTGTACTTCTATTGACGTTTACTGAAAGATGCAATTCTCCCATTGATTTTTCAATCATAGTGACTGTGTATGGTCTTTTAGTATCAGGATTTACACATTTTTCTGCAACAATAGTAGCAATTTCCCGGTATATATTATCCATTTGATGTGATCTTTCTTTATCACTAACTTGAAGCTCTCCTTTCTTTAAAATCTAATTAATATATTGTTATCTGATATTATTAATTGTTATTATATATAATCATAAAATTATAATATAGAATTATATATATATATAATGTATACCTCTTCAACAATTTTATTTAAATCTTCTGTTTTAAATGATTTTACTAAATCATCTTTTGCTGCTACTTGACCTTTCGATACATTTAAAAATACATTGTTTATTTGAAGAACTTCGTCCAAATCTGTTTCACTTTGCAAAAAAAAAAAAAAAAACAATTAAAATACTATTTTAACATAAAAAGGAAAGATCTTGATAAAAATAAAAATCGTTATTATTTACACTCCAGTTCTCCATTCTAACACTTTATTTTTATAACAAGCTATTTCAAATCGTTTTCCACCTTTTCTTAAACGAACTATGGAAACATTGGTAAGTCTTTATTCAATAATAGTAAGAAGGTTGTGAGGGTGGCAATAATCGTTAGTAATTTTGGGTAATTATAATAAATATAGTTGAAAATTTAATCTTTTAAAGTAAGATACAAACTTTATTTGATTACTTGGTTGGTTAATAGGCATTTTGAAATTTTTACTTTTTTTTATTTTATTTTACAAATTTATCTGTTTTGAGTAACGAACATAATAAGTTTATTGTAACACGAAATACAGCTAATTCTTATACAGCCGTGGAAACTGCAAAACCTCACGTCCCCCAATGGTAAAGGGAGGTTATTAATTAACCCTGATTTCTCTTCTAAATGGTATTGGCTCCTGTCCACCAGTAGAGTTTTATGGACAAGAAAATATTCCTTATATTTTGGGTAAGTCTACGAGAAAAGAAATGCAAACAAGACATATATCCTTACATACTCGGACTGATCAGAATCGCTGACGTTCATCAAACCACCAATCACACAGAAAATAAATCTTACTCGTCCGAAATCCATCAACCATCCATCCTCACCCTACACCTCTTCCTCAATTCCCGATATAATTCTTTTACTGGTCCCGGCGCATGACCTCTAGAATCACTAGAAAATCACCCACTCATCCCCAAATTTCACCGCTGAACTGCTATTTTTCTTCATTATCCTTTCGCATACAATAAATATTGTATACCCTCTGACAATTGATATATGATTTCCATGTGAAGCTAATGCCTTGTGCCATGGAATTCAAGAAGAGAGTATGCATATGTTGGAGAATATGTTGTCCATAGGTAGCAACAGATAAATGAACGTTATGGTGTTGGGATAATTGTTAAATAAAAAAATTAATAAATTATAAATTAAATACTTGCTATGTAAAATAGTTTCCACATTGTTATAATTGCTTAATCCATACTTCTTTCTTCTTCCTTGCTCTTGTAAACCCAGCTTGAGAATACCATTCTTTTTGTTGAGCAACGAATCACTGTCACAAATAAATCATTTCAACCTGGAACCAATCCAACAACATATATTATCATTTTCACATATATCCAAAGGATGAAAATTGTCCTCATTATCAAATCCATATGCATTTATTACATTGTGTTCCATTATTGCTCTCTTTAGATTAACGCTAACTAAAACTCATGCCATCTGTCATTATACTAAAACCAAACCATCGATTGCTTGTTGTAACTTTTCTATGCAAAATGCTTTTTTCCATCATTCATCAATATTTTCATTAAATCTATTTTGCTTATCTGCCCTAAGCCACAAAATTCTATCTACAAGTATAAATTGTCAATGAAACTTGGTATGTGGTAAAATGGTAATCCATGATGACCTTGTTGTTTTGATTGATATCAACCTTCAACGCAAATGCGTTGTTAAGTTCATAAATAGACTGGGGAAGCGAAAAAGATCTATTGGAAATGAAATTAGAAACTAGATGTTGTGTATGAGTATGGGTGTTTTTCTTTGCTGAGGAAATGCAATTGCTTCTTTAGTTTCCATTGAATCTAGTGAAATATACGTTCATAGAAACATGACTTTGTGCATTGATTATATGAATACGTGCTGCTGATCTGATTATTTGATCAGACCACTAAAAAAAAATTACAACGAATAATCAAAAAGTTTTTTCTAAACTACAAAATTACATATACCTTCTATTATTCCATGCAAGACCTGTGGGACGCAGAGGAGTGTACAAACCATCTCGAATATAGTTTGATGTTGCGTTGGTGGTATTTTTTGGAGTGTTGAAAGTGTTTTGTTGAAGAACAGCTTGAAAAGGAAATAGCTATAATCAAGTACAGGAATCAGAAGGTCGTTGTTAAGAAGATAATATTAGTGAGACAGCTGGCTTCAAATTAAATATATGCCAAATGCTTGACAGCATTATCAACGATGGGTGCCAAATTGGGTTCAGCAAGAAAACAATTAAAGCCGATCTTTGTTGTGCAGGCCTTTCTTCTCCTCACCCCTTCTTGTTTTGCTATTTGGAATTTACGGGGTTTGTAAAGAGGACACCCCTTTGCAGAAATAAAAGTATGCTCGATACTACCACATTTACATGTTTTATTGTTAAGAAGAGAAAGCTGGCAATTAGTAATGCTACTGATTCAAGATATTTGCAATGTTAAGCCTTCCACTGTCAGGTGGTCCTTTAAAATTTTTTGCAGAAATTGCATTATTTATTTTGAAAATATAGGGAGTAATTTTCTCACCTTGTTCCTTTTCCTGATTGCACTATAATTCTTGGGTTCCATAGCATATTAATTATTTTATGCATGCCCCATATTATATACTCACTGCTGCTATAATTCAAATAGGAATTCTTTTATACATGTTTTCAACAACTAAAATTTTCATTTCAAAAAGAAAAGTTTTTAATCATTAAATATTATTATTATTATAATAAATATAAAATTTGATTGAATTTGAAATCTTTACCTAATCTAAAAGAAAATGATTTTGACAGATTAAATGGCATACAATTTTATAAAATCAAAAGAACAAGAAGCTCCGTAAAGTCTTTTTTCTTTTTCTTTTTAACGTTGGTGGTTATGATGGAAAACTTGGTTAAATTTTTGTAACCTTGTTCTATTAAAGAAAACTCGGATTGATAAAGAGGAGAATGGCGAATATAAAGATCAAATTTATAACAAATAAAGCAAATGAACGTTTTCTGATTGATAGTAGTAATAATAAATTTTTATGGTTATAAAGTTTATTGGTTGAATGAAGAAGGGTGTTGAGATTGTGAATTTGTATTGGTCATATTTTTTTATTTGAAAGTTGGCACAACCCACAAACCTTGTTTTAATTATAGCAAACAAAATAACATTCAATATATATTGGATTCCTGTTATTATTACAATGAAACATATTTTTATTTTGTTATCGTTTTTATTAATGCATATTGCTTATTTTTTTTTTGAAATATCTTCTAAATGAATTTCCAATTAAATTATTAATTATTATTATTATTATTGTAATATAAATTAGTTAAATTAAATATTCCATCCCGCATGTATTTAAAAATAGAATATTTTCAAGTAAAAACCAAAGTAATAGTAACAATAATAGAAATGATTAATGACATAAATAACTTATGTTTATCATAATTATTATAAATTAAACCACCATCGCTACCATTATTAAAGGGAGAGTCATTGGTTTGTATTACCTTTGTGGTGGTTGGGGGAGCTGCAGCAGTTGGAGTAGTTTCATCGATGGTGGAAACAACAGGTGGATCATATTTTGGCATTACTGGTGGTGGTGTACCAAGTTTAAAGGAGAATGTTCCAGCAAATTTTAATTCATCATCATTTGGATTGATTACAGCTAGACAAACTATAGCATTGGTACCAAATGGTGGATTTGATTCCTTTTTACATCCCATTACCGGTCCCTCATCAAAACATGACAATTCCTGAATGTATCCTGCTGGGGTTCTTGTTGGATCTAATAATTGTTGTATCCCTGTATAGTTTGCTGCAAAGGTTAAAAGTCCTTTTGTACTGTATTGTTTTGGATGGTTTCCTTCTTGTGGCGGAAATCCAAATCCTGGAGTTGCTCCAGAAGAAGTAGTTATCCATATTACATTATAGCCTGGGAATTTTTTGATTTATTAAAATAATGAAGTAAATAATATATATGTATATAAAGAACTATTGCAATACTAACTTATATAATTCGTTTCTAGTGAACTACAAATATACCAAGTCCATTTTGGTGGCACTACCATAATACCAGTACTTGTATCTTTTGTTTGAGCATCAATAGGCAATATAAACCACTTATTATCGTTAAAAAGAATATTTTTAGATATTTATTTTATTACATGTACAAGTATATATATAAATATGATTTCTTACTTCCAATGTCATTAATGTAATGAAAATCGGTAGGATTATTTGAAATTTATTTGAAATCATCTTTTTCATTATATTATGATAAACTGAATAATAAATAATAAATTAAAAAAAAATTTAAAATAAATTTTTTTTGAAATTAAAATTTTCATTAACACGTTTTCTATTTATATTCTAAATTGCACTACTAGTTTATACAATTTTAGAAATTATCTTGTAAATCAAACAATAGGAGGATCGATAAGTTTCTGCAAAATATTTAGGGAATCAAAATCGTGTAACACTTTTTTAAAAAATTTGAAATGTTATGTGATCCACATATTGAACTTTAAAAAAACCACCATTCAATTCAACTATAAAAAGGGTGTTAATTAACGTAAAAAAAAATTTGTCTCAACTTTTTAATTTTTTTTGCAATAAAATTTTTTATGTTACCAAATTTAGTAATGATTTTCTTTTAAGAACTTTTATTATTATTGTTACCAGAAATTAGGATTTAACGCTGTTTTGTTGGTCGAAATACCTTAATTCCGAATCAAAAATCTTTTATTTCTGTTTTTACTTTATTTTTATATCTACATTTATTTATTCCTCATATTTTCATTTCTTATTTTAGAAATTAGCGTCACGGTTAGAATGTTACGTCGCGATTAAAGTGCGTTATCGCGGTTAGAATGCTAGATTGCAATGAAGTTGTTACTAATTAATTTAATTGTATATAAGAAGTTCAAATTCGACATACTTGTAAAATAACTTTGTAATAACTTTGTAAAAAAAGTTTTATAATAAAATTTAACTTGGAAATAAATTAGTTTTGACCAAATAAAATGTTTTCTTAAATCACTAAACCAATTCGTTAGTAATAGCCAATTCATTCTGATCATAAATTTATATTGTTATCATCAATTAACACGCTCTCCCAAATAATAATTGTTGACAATATTAATATTATTAATAAAAAAAAAGAAAATGAATAACATAAATAATACAAATAAATCAAATGTTGTGGAAAATATTCTATGAAAAACATTTTGTTACACGAAATTTACTTGGTCTCAATTCCTTCCCTAAGCGTATAACAAAATTTGGAATTTTCAAAATGCTAAGGCTCTGCCAATCTAAAGTTTTGAAGAATAATAAAACCCATCAGTTAACTTTTTTAAAGTGGTATAAAAATTTTTTGTTTTAGTATTTTGAACCTGACCAATTGTTATTATAAGCAATTATTTTAAAATCAAAGAGATTCTAAAATTGGTCTTGTGACAAGTAAAATGGGCAGAAAGAATTAAATTTGAGTGGATCTGAAATAAGCATCTGAAATATTTTCAAATGTATATTCAATAATTGAATAATTGATATAAAAGAGAAAATATAAATCTTCACTATGCTTTTGTTTCACTACATAAATTTTCTATAAGGCAAATCTCAGGGAACATATGGTGCAGGTCACCTCAAACTTCCAAGTCTTATTTATATTTTAAAACTTATAGAAATAGTGCACTCAATTCCATTTTCTAATGTAGATTGTGAAAGAGGTTTTAGCAAACAAAACAGATTTATGTAATGCAATGGAAAACGACATATGATGGTTGGTTTAGAAGGTACTGATTTATTTTGTTATGATGCTCTTAGTAATCTTCTTCAAAGTAAAAACAGAAGTATAAAATAAAGAAAATTCTTAAATTTGAAAAAATTTTAGCACCCAAAAAATTTTCCTTTTTTTAAATTTTTCTTCCGGAAAATTCTTAGCATTCAGGAGGAATTTCCGTTTTTTTTTTCAGGCAATAATTAATAATATTTTATTTTGTTTGTTTACGATCTTACAACAGAATTGGACAATAATTATGATAATTCATATATTACATCTCCTCCATCTGAAAGTTCTAATTCATTTGATATTTCACATATAAATCCCAAATAAATGATGATATATATTGAATCAAGTTCTTCCATTCTTATGCAGTTATTGGTGAACCGAAAGAAAGTCTATTTCTATTATTATTAAATTAGTTACATCTATATTGTCTGGCGAAGAAAGAATGTCAGCAATTATTAATGGTGATTGGAGTAACGTTATCTCAAGCTTCTGCAACAAATTCTATGGCTTTTTTAATATTCAATTCTTTGCCTTGTTGTTATATATATAAATTAAAAAAACATCATATATTTTTCTCTTAGTTGAATCAAAATAAATAAAACATTACTTATCTTTTTTGTTGTTATTTAATCCTTTCCTTGAATGTGAATGTATATGTCCATTACAATATTCATGAAAATCATGTGTTATTATTGTTTGAATATATTCCTTTTAAAAGAATTAGAAAATAAATTGCATCGCCCAAATAATGATAATATTAAGACCATACATAAATGAAATTTAAGGAACTGTTTTTGAAAAAGGCCCTGATGAGCAAAAGATGAGAAATTTGACAGTTGGAAAATAAACCTTTGATCTTTTTCATGTATCAATCCAGAGTGTTGTAGAAAAATCGTAATGGTTGAGGTTCTCTTTTCTTGAGTGTGATTGCTCACTCTTCCCAGTTGCAGGTTGTAGGGTTCTTTAAAAACAATTTCCAAAAAAATAAAATAAATGAGCAAATCTGATATTGATAGTCAGGGTTAGCATTGGACAACAAATATCTTGGACATTATCCATATGTTCAATGTATATTCTTGATGATGGTGGTTAGGTTGGTGATGAGGTTGGTTAGGGTGGTTGATTGTCATTTTGAGTTGGAGTTGCTCAAGTGGATGTTGTGGTTGTTTCCAATGTTGTTATCGATCCTACGTTATATGTGGATTATTGTCGGCATGAGATGATAGTGGATTTGGATCTACAGGCACAAGATAATATCTGTGTCCAACACCAACCCTGATCATAGGTGTCAGATTTGACAATAATAAAATTTTCCTTTTGCAAAAATGTGGTCGGGTGCTCTTAACACGTCCCTTGTCTGTAGAATCTTTCTACAAATGAGACACCTCACATAATTTGAAAGGCTTTGGACAAGCGAGAGGCTTTAACCAGTGTTGGAATTTGGTCATTAGCTAGGCCAACATTATTAGCCAGAATGGTCAAAGAAACCAAGATATGAAATTTTTTTTTAAATCAACGATCATCCATGTCCCAAAAGTCGGTCTTTTAAAAGAGTTATCCCATTGACTTGGGCATAACGGTTCACTAGTTGCAGTTGGCCAATGCCCAGATACAAGCAGCCAAATGCCAACACTGGCTTTAGCAGTCTTGACGGATGATGCAGTCGGAAACTCCAGGGCCATACTACCCCCCCCTAGAATTACTGCATTGTCAATATCATCGGGGGATGAGGTCAGTTTAGCCTTATGTATGTACGCGAGGAAGAGGTGAATAACTGTAGATTTTCATAATCGAATGGTTGTTTCTTGGTGTTTCAGATTGTCCGGCAGTTTTGTGATCTTTGGTTACGTTGTTTTTTTTCATCTGTCGCTTCTTATAATCATTTAATATTATATACAAATCGTTTATGGTGATATATAATTATCCGTAATGTAAAAGACGCTCCACATTTATGACATCAATATGAAAAAATAAATCTTTGGCAGTTAGTTAAAAAACATGTCTTCGCGTTCTAAAAAAAAAAAAAAAAAAAAATTTAAAATTGGGGTTCGTACAATGCTACGCGTCTTAAATAATATTTTAACGCCCTTTTGTTTCACCTTAAAAAAATATAAAAGAAATTTTAAATTTTAAAAATGTCTTTTGGGTGCAACAGAGTCAGGAGAATAAGACAGAAAACTACAGAACTAGTTGATTCGAATAAGTAAGTATTGAGCCTTTCTTGGTGTGGTGATTATTGATCATTCTAGTTTATCTGCAAATTAATATAAAAAAATTTTTCTTATTTCTATTATTTGATTTTGCAAAAATACTTGGTCCCAGTTCATCCCCCTCATTAACATATGGTCATGAAAAGCCACCAATCATAGTTGGTTTAATATTGGCCAGAAATGATCGTGAAATCACAGTATTTGGACCCAAAGGAGTACCAATCACAGTTCCCGAGCCTTATGAAACTTACAAAAGGCCAATTGGAGGACTTTCATTTAAAGATGAAATTCCAGAATTGGCTCAAGCAGATACCAGCAAGGAAGGTGACACTATTGAACCAAGATTGATTGTACCATCAACTAGTGGAAGAGATGGAACAGCTGGTGTGGTTCTAGCTTGGCATAACAACTGGGTCTTGGTAGCACGTTCTGATGATTGTGTAGTGATCAAAAGAATATCAAATATATTGTATAAGAAGATACTTGAAGCAGCTAAATATTTAAGTCTTGATGAACTCCCTGAAGCACATAAAGTTACTCTTTATGAATATGAAAGCTATAGAGTAGAACTTGCTAAATAAACTGCATACGAGAGAAGTATTCTATAATTCATAACCCAAAACGAAGTGCTTTTAAAGAACATGAACCAATTGGTAGAGTTGTTAATGGATCACAAACATTTTGGTCTTTAAAAGGAATATATTGTTTGAGTGTGTACTGTAAAGAGTACAGACAGTATTTGGAAAATTCACGTAAAAGGAAATTAGAATTGGCGCATGAAAAATATTTTGAGGAGTCACAAAGAAATAAACAAAAATTCAAAGGAATGCGACACACACCAAATGGTTTTAAGGTTGTAGAACCTACAGCTTTTGATTTACTTACAGAGATAACAAATGAATCAGAAAGTAAATCTACAATGAGTAATAATAAACAAATTCTTAAGCAAATCCTTTGGTCCAAACATGATTTGAATTTTGAGGCTCTTCAACCATTAATATATGATGAAAAGCGTGAAGAAAAAGA